GAGCTATGTGCTCATTTATTCTCTAATATGTGTATGGCCCATGAGACGAATACTGCACAACAAATACAGCTAAAGCACTGCCATCTCTTGGTAGTTGGGTTTTTTTTTAATCCTGCTTTTAAAAAAATCATAGTTTATTGCTGACCTGCCAACTGTTGAGTCACTCATTAAGCTGTCTCTGAGGGTGCTTTAGGAGGCACCACATGGTATCTCTTAAGAGCAGGGAAATAATCATTTAAGGAGGTATTTTTAACTGACTAGCAAGCAGTTAGAAGGAAATTGACAAGGACTGGTTTTCAGGGGAACAGTCACACAATGTAACTTCCACTGGGAAATGTACTTGGCTTGTGACTAACTGAGTGTCTCGTTGGTTCACTTTCTTGCCTGTTTCTCCCAGTAGCCCAATTGCACAAGCAATTCCTGAAACTAAAAATTGGAAAGCAAGTGAATCTAGAAGATAGACCTAACCTAGACAATAGGCTGTGTTCATTGCGGGGGTGGAGGGCAGATCAAAGAGGAAACGCAGCAGAAATCTTGAAGATCCTGCCATTGAATGACAGGAGATGGATGACTGTTTGGCAGCTAGTTCAGATAGAAATAGGAACTGAGCCAAACAGGATTCTGCTCCAAGCTACTGCTGATCTCTAGCAAATTGTTCCAACAGCCACTAATCTTATAATAGGCTAGCAAAAACTGTCATTTTACGGGGGGGAAATATTGACAGTCCTTTTTCTTAGCCGCGTACGTACAACAACTTATGAACTACACCTTTCAGCAATTTGCTTAACTGTCAAAATACAGAATACAGCAAAAATCCAGTTTGGTAAAGATACGGCCAAAGTTACAATGACAAAAGCAGAGGATGTACTTACAGCTGTCAGTTCATCCTCCCCTCTCAGCCAGGTGGGCCTCAGTAGAACAATATGCAAGACTATACGTCAACCATATATTGATGACGTAGTGATATATATTCATCTGGGCAGAAGTCCATAGCAGAATAAGTAAATGAAGAAAAGAACTGAAAATCTCTAGCCTTTGTAAAAACAGAAAGTACTATTTTTGAAAAAGCTGAGTCATGGTGTCTTGTTCTTAAATATCTTGAGGTCACCATTACCTATACTTGGCTTCATAGCTTCAGGGAAAGCCAAGAAACTATTACTCCACTTTTAGCTATCCTGAAGTGCACAGTGCAAATGAAATTTCTCCCTAGCTAGGAGAAAAGGAGAAATGACCAATGCTTATTCTATTGCAAACATCACTTTGTTTTTCGAATCTATATCTTTCTCTTCACAGACTTCAGTGCCTGCCTTCAAATGTTGCTTTAAGTGGCAAGCGATAACAATGATTATTAGGAATAATCTGAGACAAACATTTCTAGTGACACTATGACTGCTGTCTCAAAAAGCACTAGTCCATGGAGGCACAGTGGACAAGAGAGAAAAAACTGTCCATGGCCTCCAAGCTTCAAACTCATCAGTGAAATAATTTAACCAGCTTATCACATAAAGCGCACATGGAGAATTGCTGTTCCATTTCCAACTTACTTGCCCCTTCATTTTCTCTTTTACTGACCATGTCACACTGTCCTCTGCCATCTATCACTGTTCTCTTCTTTCTGCCTTTGCCATCAGCTATTCTATCCATCAACTCCCTTATAGCTCCACGGGGTCTGATACTGAAATCTTAGGCACTTCTGCTACTAGATAGAAAGCATTTATTATGCCTGCATTTAGTGCCAGCAGGACTGCTAGTTCAGCTGCCATCATGGAATATGACTGCTAGTCAAACCTAGATGGACAGGAAGAAATGGGAAGGGTTCTCCCTCACTAGTGCAGGGGTAGGGAATCTGCGGTTCTTAGGATGATGTTGTTGGACGACAACTTGCATCATCCCTGGTTGTTGGCCATGCTGGCTGGGGCTGATCAGCATAGTAGACCAACATCAGGAGGGCCACAGTTTCACTATCCGTACACTAGTGAACAGTGACTGCTTAATTCATACTCAAGACCTTGACCCAAAGGTATATGAATTTTAAGGTGACGACAAAGCAGGCACTACAGATTCGCTACAGATTGGGGAGCACTGCTGTGTGACTAAATGAACCCTCACCAGGTAAATTTCCTTACTTGAACATAATTCTTCTCAGTCATATATTTCACATTATAGCAGCAACACTAAGAGCTTATTATGCCATACAATACTGTTTTACTATGAAATCAATCTGGTTGAGAGTTCTGAAGTGCCTTACAAACTTCGTATAGTTTTGTGACCAGGAGTGTAGCAAGAGTGTACTATATAGTCTTACGAAGTATTGCAGTTATCGGTCCCTGTATTAGTAAAGTGAGTGTTGTACATGTAGAACAGGCTTCCTCAACCTCATCCCTCCAGATGTTTTGAGACTACAATTCCTATCATCCCTGACCACTGGTCCTGCTAGCTAGGAATCATAGGAGTTGCAGGCCAAAAACATCTGGAGGGCCACGGTTGAGGAAGCCTGATGTAGAATGTATTAAGCCACAATGGGGAAAAGGTAGAAGAGGGTAGGGATGTGGGGTTTGTGCTACTATCATGCTGCTGGTAATGTGGGAAAAGTAGGAAAGTTATCTTCAAATAAGAAGATGTTGGTAACTTTTATGTGCATGCAAGTGAAATTCATTCAGTTTGGTGTTTTTTTAAAATCATGTGCAAACTGTTAGGGAACACAGTTGTTAAATTTAAGTATGCCAGCCTGTGAGTAGGTGTGTATATATGTTAGTTGGCCACTAACCTAAAGCATGAACCCAGATAAATGTTCTTGAGAAACCTGAGGTCTTCAATTGGAGGAAGATGTACAGCAATTAACAGTGCAGCAAACACTCAGTTTGCATATCTGAGTAAACTACAGTTATTGATGTACAGTGGTACCTCGGGTTACATATGCTTCAGGTTACATACGCTTCAGGTTACACACTCCACTAACCCAGAAATAGTGCTTCAGGTTAAGAACTTTACTTCAGGATAAGAACAGAAATCGGGCTCTGGTGGTGCGGCGGCAGCAGGAGGCCCCATTAGCTAAAGTGGTCTTCAGGTTAAGAACAGTTTCAGGTTAAGAACAGACCTCCGGAATGAATTAAGTACTTAACCCGAGGTACCACTGTACTGTGATAATGTTCTTCTGGTCTGTATGTCTTGTTTCCCACTAGCCTGCAGAGGAAATAAGCCATGATCCCTGACTTGGTGTTACAGTCAATTAGGGATTATGTATTCTTTTGCTCCCAAAAACTTAATTCAGTAAGACGAGACCCAGCCTTAGCTACAGATCATGCTTTGGGAACTTGAGAAAGCATGATCTCTGGTTGAGGCTTAACACTAAACTGAAAATTATTATTTGCTTCTTCCTCATGCTAGCAAGGAGGATAAACACAGATCATACAGGCATGATCACAGTAAATCCATTCAGTATGGTTTAGATGACATGTGAACAAGGGCAGTGAGTGTGTAGTACAGCAAATGCAAGACATGGAGGCAAGCCTTGGAAACCAGATCTGCTAGCTGCTGTTCCTTAACAGGAGCCAATTGCCCAGGAGAAACTGTTTGTTTATGAATAGGTTTGCAGTATAATCATGGGGTGTGTTCTTTTCATTCTGTCACACTTCAAACAATGCTTGTTTTCTGAATAAGTGCTGCTTTGCTCTTATAAATGCCTTTCTGCTATCATAACCCCATTAAAATTGGAGTGCATAACATAATCTCCATGGCAACTGATGCTATCAGTATACATAGGATTCTTCACTACCTAGTCAAAAGAAGAAAAGAATAGGCAAATATGCTGAGATTGTGTAAGTATTGTAGAGAACACCAGGGACTAGACAGCAGCTCAATTGACACTGAATGTCTCTTACTCTGCTGAGCAAAATAAAAGGCCAAAGAGCACTGATGAATATCTTTTGGCAGAAACATTTGAGAAGAGTCACTTGATATTCTAGTAGGGTTGCCTTTTGTTGGTGTGCAACATTATTGATGTGTCATTGTTGTTGCTATAATTTTATAGACAATAAATGTTTACCAAGCTCACTATGGTAGGTATAGTAGAAGATATATTGCAAAAGAGATTCCTAGAGGATCAGAGGGTGGATGGAAAGCAGTGGTAAGGGGGTTCATCAAGATACAGTGGGATATAAGCACTGCTGGATATCAGCTGTCACAATACTTATACTGCAATATGCTATTGCCTTGAACACCTCTCCTTATTTCTGGCCAACAGTATTGTATTCTCTGCTGCCTCATTCTGCTGGTGCATTCTAACTTCTGCATTGTTGTGCAGTAGTGAACTGCATACATCACTAAAGTTCTGCATCCTACATGTATTATTATTATTATTATTATTATTATTATTATTATTATTACACCCCACCCATCTGGCTGGGTTTCTCCAGCCACTCTGGATGGCTTACAGAATACAGTGGTACCTCGGGTTACATACGCTTCAGGTTACACACACTTCAGGTTGCAGACTCCGCTAACCCAGAAATAGTGCTTCAGGTTAAGAACTTTGCTTCAGGATGAGAACAGAATCGTGCTCCGGCGGTGCGGCAGCAGCAGGAGGCCCCATTAGCTGAAGTGGTGCTTCAGGTTAAGAACAGTTTCAGGTTAAGTACGGACCTCCGGAATGAATTCAGTACTTAACCCGAGGTACCACTGTATATAAAACATAATAAAGCATCAAACATCAAAAACTTCCCGATGCAAGTAGTACGTCACATGGTTAACTTATGGTTGGCCCCTGTGAGAAAGAGGATGCTTGACCATTAACCTGATCCAGCTCTTTCCATCTTCTTACCCCAACGGCATCTTGCAGTCCCTTTCCCCATTCTAGAAAGACTGCTGTGTGGCTAACTTTTTATTCAGGTTGTTTAATGTTTATTGTCCTTGTTGAGATAATTGTTGAGATAATTTTGGTCTTTTGGCAACTTGCTGTTACCTGTTTGAAGCATTAATGTATGTGGTTTTTTCCCTTTCAGAGAGTATTCAACGTCTTGTACCCAATGCCTGCTGACCAAAGGAGACACGTCAGCATAAATTCTGCTCGCTGGCTGCCTGAACCAGGCTTGGGATTGGCATATGGCACTAATAAGGGGGACCTGGTGATTTGCCGACCGGAGTAAGTGCTTGGTTTAGAGCCTGAGCGCCTTCTTACCCTTAGTTCATAGGAATTTTCTATCAGCATCCTCAATTATAACAAAACTTTCAGTGATTAATTTCCCCCCTGATAACTATTGTGGTGTTTGTTTCCTCCTTTAAAATTACCATAACTTCATATTTCATCTTTAATCTTTGAAGTTTATGAAAAGCAGGAACCATTGAGCAAATATAATATACCTATCAGGTATAATATAGCGTTCCAAAACTCTTGTGTCAGCCTCCCTGTTTTTTCTTCCTTTTGCATTTGATAATACTGTACCCTTCTCTTACCCAGGAGACTCATAATATAGCTATGAAGTTAACTTGTTTGTTTGTTAAGAGGCAGCAGCTTAGAAATGGTAAATGAGTAAGTTAACTGGAGGAATGTTCATTTAGGCTTCTATATTTTCTCACATCTTTGTCCCTGGGCTTAAATATGACTTCTAATAGGAAAGAAGCCCCAATATGTATGTAGTATTCAGTACAATGCAAATCACACGTCCGAAGTTCCCTAAATTTTGGGTCACCTTGTTAGTCGTTATTTGGTTTGGCCTGTCTTAATTGAACACACTTTTTTATGGTGCCTTTGAAAAGTTGACATTCATTTATGTGGAATCACAAATGTTGCTCATGTGTGGATGTCTGTTTTCTATGTCCCAAACCAAACTTCATGCCAAACATGCAGCTGCTGTAGGAACAGCTGTCACGTGTTTAATTACCCCCTGTGTCCTGTTATCAACAATCCTTATTTCCTCACCATCCATTCTCATCACTGGCTAGCAAGGGGAGTGCGGAATATTATGGTGTCAGATAATAGATAAATATGGTTCGATGTAACAAAGCTAAATGCATGTCTGCTGTATATCTAGCTTCCTCTGTCATAATGTCTAACAGAAAAAAGTATGAGATTGCATAGGAAGTTGATTTCTTCCAATAGCCTAAATATACAAAAGAATTACCATGGGGGAGGGAGGGGGAGGGAGAAAGGAAAGGAATCGAGTGTGATTAAAAGAACTTCATTAATCCATTTGTATCTTGGCCAGGATACATTGTGGCATCAAAGATTGTTTGTTTATAGCTGTGTGGGCTACTTGGTGGTTATATTGATTTAGAATTACATTATTTTTTAACCAGGGACTCCAGGTTAGCATACAGAAGTATGAATAAGATTCACACAACATAAAGATACAATTTAAAACTGGCAACAAAATACAAGATTAAAAACCCCAAAAGCTTAAAAATGGAATAAAAGGATGCAGTTCCTCAGAACCATCAATAATCTAAAATGCATGGGCAAATAGCAGCGAAAAATTTGTAATGTTGGTGGCAGGGTGCCTCCTTAGTTCATTCCAAAGTTGGGCTGCTACCACAGAAAATGCCCTCTCGTTTGTGGAAGTAGCTAATATACAGCTAATAACAAGGGTTGGTGTACCCCAAATTAATGCCCAAGGCTCTCATCCTTTTCATGAACCCAAACCCTTGCCTGTCCTGTCCTGTGCACCAGGTCCCTCTTTCATTTTTATCTGTAAGATGTTTTGTGAACAGGAGACTACCGGAAGTAAAAATGGTGCTCTAATTGTACTTAGATGTGTTCCCCGAAGGGCAGTAAGGAAATATATCCAATTATCATGAAGTGACTCCAAAGAGAGAAGTAACCATTATTTATTTCAAGTTTGTAAAGTTTTCAGCCAAAGATTAGATTTCCCCCATGCGTTGACTAAGCTGAAAAGAATAATCCTAGCTTATGGGCTGGTGTCAGTGCTCTAAACATTATATTAATATGTATGATATAGAATACAGAATTATCATAAGCACAAATGTAAAAAATGTAATTTAAAATACAATTATACTATGATCCTGAGATTGCTTTTCTGTGCCACTTCATTTCTTCACAACCACGCATCATTGTGTGAGGGCAGCTTATTTTTCACCTAGTTTTGGGTATATAGCCCCAATGTATCTATCTGTCATGTGTGTCTGGTGGCTAACACCATTTACCTGCCAGCATTTTCAGTCATTAGAGACCCTGATGCACTGTTTACCTTTTAAGTGTAATCATTCTTGGCCAAGGTGACTGTTGAAGGCTAGATGGAGGTTCTGTAGTGGTCTCAGTCTTAGCTGAGATAGGTTAGCCATCCGACCCAACAAATTGCTTAGAGATCCCATAGATCCTTATTTTCAAAGTTACCATGGCAATAGAAGGTTGGACCAAGCATTAGTATGTTTGTCTTTGCTGACAGAACACAAAATGGGATAATTTTGTGGCATACTTACTTTTATTAAAGTGGACACAGGCATTTAACAGAAGGAAATTTTGCCTTTGCATTCCTGTGGTACCTTTCCTACATGTTCATGGATTTAGAATCAGCTTATTTAATAGCCGCAAGCTTCTTGTACAGTGTGTATGTGAATTATTTTGCTTGCTGCTTTCTGTACCCCTGGGATATGTTAAAGCATTGACTAATGTGATGCTCCTTGCTTGTAGCTAGACAGCTCAGATATTTTCAATGTAGAAGTAAATGGGCAACTTAGCAGTCCAGTCTGCTTGTCATGTTGAATATAAAACCCTGGAGTCTTTGTGGATCTTAAATCATTTCAGTGTGCTGAAGAGCATTCACATACAATAGTTACATATTGAGCAGCTTTCTCTGAGTATGCCAAGGACTTTTCTGAGTATATTTGGCACTTGGTAGTTTATAGTAATAATATTAACATATCACTACTTTCATATCTAAGGGATGCGAGTGGCGCTGTGGATTAAACCACAGAGCCTAGGACTTGCTGATCAGAAGGTCGGCGGTTCGAATCCCCGTGACATGGTCCCTGTTCCTGCCAACCTAGCAGTTCGAAAGCACGTCAAAGTGCAAGTAGATAAATAGGCACCGCCCCAGCGGGAAGGTAAACGGCGTTTCCGTGCACTGCTCTGGTTCACCAGAAGTGGCTTAGTCATGCTGGCCACATGACCCAGAAGCTATACGCCAGCTCCATCGGCCAATAAAGCGAGATGAGCGCCGCAGCCCCAGAGTCGGCCACGACTGGACCTAATGGTTAGGGGTCCCTTTACCTTTTTTTACTTTCATATCCATATATCCAAATAAATAAACAAAACAAACATATAAATCTTTCTGGTTATTCATTCTCCTTTTAGATGTTAATGAATCTATTTTTCTCTTATTTGGTTACTTTTTTAAAAAGATCCAGGAGACTGCCAGTTGACAAATTCTGTCTGCCATTTCCTTATGGAGTTATTATTCATACGTGGTTCTGAATATCACTCCAGTTTTATATAATGACAGAAGCAATAGGTAAATCCAATGCATTTCATTTACCAGCTTTATTAATACCCCTTTGTGTTGTGTACTTACTATCAAATACAAGTTTGGTTTATTTGATTACCTCCTTTTGATGATAACTCTTGTCATTAAATTCTTCCCTTTATTGTGCAAGATGCTCTAGCTTTTTTGTTTTTTGCTAAATAAAGCCACCTGAGTCATTTTTCCTTTTCTTCACCAATGAATGGACATTCTTATTAACTCACCTTTTCCCTAACGTATTTAGAATATTCTTATTTCACCTTGGCAAGCTGAAGTCCTTCTATGTAGTTCTTTCTTTTCTATTCTCAGTAGCTCTTTTGTTACTGCTGTCAGAAAGTGGCACGTTCCTGCAGTCTAGGTTTCTCAAGCTGTCCAAATCCCAGCCTCCCAGGATTTCTCCCCTGATGGTACAGATAAACTGTGTTAGTTTATTCAAAGGACACATCTGGAGCATATATTGACCGTTTTTTACAGGCATCTATCCCAAGATACTATGAAGTCACACAAAACAGCTTTCAAAACTCTTTTTCTTAGGTAATAAAATGTGTAATGCCTATTCACTTGTGGCAAATTCACAATAATTTCTAAAAAACTCAAACCCTCTTTAGGTTGTTTTTTTTTTAAGTAAACATGTGAGTGGCAGGTGGGGGGGGGTAGCAGGGATGAATGCATTAATGCTTTCCCCATTACTGTTTCATAACCCTCCACAAGTTGGAGGGTGAACTTCTGAAGCTGGGAAAGCCTCTAATGTGGAACAGGAGATAGTTAACAGCATGGCACACGGAGGGACAAAGAGCTAGCCCCTTTCCCCTTTACAACAGATGGATGCCTGGAGAGGGCTCAATGACTCACATTGTTTAATATTCTAAATTGTGAGCAGCTGAAACGTGTGTGTTGTAATTGTTGTTCACCGTGAACCTAGAAAACTTTTTTAAAGATGAAGCGGAGTAGAGCAAGGGTGAGGAACCTTTTGCCCCTGTGAAGTGGTTGCAGGAACACCAATCTCCTGCCAATCGCACTGACCAATTGTTGTCCAGTTAGCTGGGAGTTGTTAGCTCAAACAATTATCTGAGGAAGGGTCGACTCTTATCCACCCCTGATTAGAGGATAATACCTATGCAAAATAGGCACTTGGCTGAGAAAAAAAAATAGACTGGGAAAGAAAATGCCAAAGTTTAAATGACATAGCATCTTAGTCATACATTAGTTAAAACCAGGTGAGGGAAAAAATTCAATTCACCATAAAATCAGGTGGTAAGTGTATGCTTTAAATAAGGAATAGTAAGCAAAAAGGCACGAACATTTGAAAACAGAATTAGAAATAAGATGCAAAGGCTAACAGAGGGCCAGAAGACCAAGAAAGTGAATATACAAAAATAAACGATGAAATTGAAGCAAGAGATGGAGGATGGATACATATAAAAGAAAATGACATCTTGCTTGAATATCTCTTCCCAAAATGACATATTTGCGACTGATAAGTAGTTGGATCAGCCTTTGCTTTCTGCGCCACATGAATAGACCCCTCTTTCAATGGAGCATTAAGAACCTCGGTCATTCAGAGTCTCCCCTGCTCCCAACCTCAGCCAGTCTAATGAGCCAGAATGAGCAAGGATCAAGTATGCAAGTGGTCACTTTTACCTCTCAGGCTGCAAAAGGTTGCCCA